CCATTTATCATTTTTGATAAAAGTATTTAAATCTTTTTGCAGACACGAGCAGCATCAAATGTAGGAATTCACCGACGTTATTTCTTATCTGAATCCTTGGCGAAATTAATCGGGTCTTCAGAGCCACAGACCCGGTACAACGTCATAAAACTCGTTTGGGTCCAGATTAAAAAAAGAAAGCTGCAGGACCCTGATGATCCTGCATATATACTTAGTGACGATGAGTTCGAGGCCGTCACCGGTATGGCAAGATTTAAAGGATTTACAGTGATGAAGCACCTAGGGCCACACTTCCTAGGATAACTCCTACTATGGCCCCGAGTGTGTCATCACCACATCATGGACGATATGCCACGCTGATTTGAAATCTTGTATCAGTTGGATAATCTTAATCATGCACTTTAACAAAAAGACTCGAACTAACGGGAAACATCAATTGTTTGGACAAGACATAGTTTTTTAATTTACACATTAAAACTTATATTTAAAAAAGAATATTAACCAATTCAGGTTTTGTACATCTATTTATACAAAGTTGTTTAATTATCAAATTATTACTGAAGGTAAACAGATTTGAATATTGTCCTCTAATGATAATTATTTATTAATTTTGAAATTATTAAATAATTTAAAAAAATACAAAGATTTTTATTTTGAATTTTATTTATTTTTTTTGAATATGTTTATTTAACTTCCCGAATGAGAAGTTTGTTTTTATCAAAAAATCCAATTCGCTAATTTTATGTTTTCTCCACGTTTCAAGCCATTCTGAATCGAATGAGACCAAATTTGGAAAAAGTATGTATGTGTGTGCGTGTATGTGAACAGATTTTTTGCCGATTTTAAAAATTAAAAAACCATTCGATGTATCTCAATGAAGAATAGCGTTTATCAATTTTGCGCGACGATCCTTCATTCATGTTGCCAAGCCCTTTTTTTGTAAATTGCAGGAAAGTGAACAAACTTTCGTTTACGCTTCATCCCACAATTCTGAATCGATTTTGAAAATTCAAAAACTGTTCGAAAGATATTGGTTGAGAATCGTGCTGATAATTTCTTGGTAAAGATCGGCCGTGCCGTTTTCTTGTAATAAAGTGTTAAAATTTTTTTTACAGTTTTTATGGTTTGAAAATTTGCCTTTGACCACAATGTGATACACCACTAGTTAACAAACTCGTGCTCATGATAATACTCCAATAGTTTGAATATCAGATAGCTTTGGTATCAAATTCAGTTACTATTTATGAAAATTAGAATAACGATCTAATACTAAGTGTAGTACATAATCCGTTTACTTGACGTATTACCTTAGGTAGGGTATTACATTAATTAATAAATTTAATGCTTTTAGTATGTAAGAAATAATGATTAGAAATAATGATTAGTAATGATTAGTAAGTAATTAGTAAGAAGAAAAATTTTCATTTAAATTAAATGCATGATCATATAAAATAATATATTACAAACGATATACACGGCCAATATCATGAAAAGAAACGAAATTTTAGTTAATTTCTTTCAATTTGTAGTCTACGACATAAGATAATAAGTCAAATTTTATAAAAATTATAGATTTGATTAATCTCTACAATTTTTAATTGGCATATTGCCCTGAAGATTCAATCTCACATATTTCAACACCACTACATAGTAAACTAGTGGGGTGTATGGCATCGTGGCTTAAGGCAAATTGCTGAAACTTCTCGTACCGTAACGAAATGATAGAGCAATACTGAATGTTTTCAAATAGATCATTATAAATATTGTAACATTGTCTAATATTTATAAGAATTATATAAACTGAAGTGTAAAGATAAAATTATTTGTTTAAAGTATATTAGAACTTTAGTAAGAATTAAAAATAAAATCTGAATTATTTTCGATATACAAAAAAAAACTAAAAAAAAAAAAATTATACACATTTTTTTCCAAAATCAATTATTTTGTTAAGACAAGCAGAAAGTTCTTTGAATCATTTAAATCGGACGCTTAGTTCTCTCAAAAACTGCCATTTTTTACATATTTAGCTCCACATCTTCGAAATGGCTGGGCCTGCCTTTGCAAAAACTAATAAACACTTTTTCCAATCATTACTAATTGAATGTTTTTTAGATCATTCAAATCAGATACTCCGTTCTCTCAAAAAGTCGATTTCTATTATCTGCACTCTTTGCTCCGTATCACCGTAACGGCTGGACCTGCCTTTGCCAAAAACTAATCAGCTCTTTTCCCTATCAATAGGAATCGAATGTTTTTTGAACCATTCAAATCGGTTGATCCGTGCGCCCGAAAACGTGACTGAAAATTTGTATCCATACATACATACACACACACACACACCCACACACATCCATTTTTTCTGAAGTATGCCAAAACGTTCAGAAACCTTCAAAACGTCGAGAAATGTAAAAAATTTCAATTTCGATTTTCGGCCCATTACAATAACTTACCCTACGGGAAGTTAATATAGTAAAAAGAAAAAACAATAGACACGATTCTATAACTAGTGATGTATATGGTACTGTTTTCGAAGCATTCTGATACAAATAATTCTGTATTATTTACGTTAATTGATAATTGCAATATGAATATGTACGTAATGTTCAAATAAATCAAACACCTTTACTTATAGTTTTTGAAGATTTTGCAATTGTGATTTTGCGAATAAAAAATTCACCGCGGCAACGCGAGGTTCTGGTACGTTAGATATCTCTGAGATTGAAAAGTATGTATAATATTAATGTGCAAATCTCCCACATACACATAATTTTTTCAATCTCATCGTCGAAAAAACATAAAAATAGCAAAAATATAGGATTCTCTTTCGGAAAGTAAAAAATTAATTCTTTATTAAATTATTGAAAAAAAAAACAAATTATTCAGGAGAGTCGTAATAGTATCGTTTAACAATTTTGTATAATAATATGAACACGTCTCTATCTCAATTACGACTCGTTTTTGATATACTGATAAACCATCCAGATAATTCCGAAACTTATGAGCGATTATGTCTGTCGGTTAGCGGTGGCATTTGGTGCCTTTCGGTGTGATAAATGTGTTTCTTGTGCCCACTGCCTCCGTTTGAAATCAAATGACACCAACTAAGGAGAGAAATTCGAAAAGCGCAAAAACTGGTCTCGTCTAGATCTAAGGCTGATAGCTGAACTAGCGACCCAGGGCAAGGGTTAGGAATTGAGTGGCCTACACAGAAATCCAATTTAGGAAAGAATCGATAAAAAATCTTAGTCTTACCAGCTTACGATGCATAGATTTTTTAACTATTAGACACAGTACGATCAAAAGAAAACGATAGTGGATCTATCAAATAGATATTATATAAGAGATGTCGCTGAAATGTGAAAATCTACTTTTATAATAACAAACAATATATTATAAATACTCTGAACTCTTAATTATCAATATTTCGTTAATAAATTATGACTAAAAATACAATAATAAACGCAAATAAAACCAGGTGGCACATCTTTTTAATCTCAATTTCACTCCCCTTGAATTCATTCATATACATTTAATTTAAAATATAGTAAAACACACTGATTATAATTACAAACATATAGTCATGGATATAAAAATATAGAACAGATTGTAAATAAAGGTGAAGTTCAAATTATGAAGATATTATTAATCAACGCTGAGCTCAAATCGTGTATTTATTAATTTTATATTTAAACATGTGTAAAGGCTATTTTAATACAAATTGATATTCTGCACATTATTAATTACTTAATTGTCATAAAATACGAATATATATATATATATATATATATATATATATATATATATATATATGTGTGTGTGTGTGTGTGTGTGTGTGTGAAACAATGACCTTTTCACATAGTTTCCGGGTTTTTACATTATTATTAACTCATAATTACATTATTGATTTATGCTATTAAGAACAATTCCTTAACCCCATTTCAATAAAACTCAACATTTTATAAAAATGCGTTTCAAACCATTTTGTCACGTTTCATATTCCATGAAGAAGGAAATATTTATCATCTATTATAAGACCACAATTGAAATGTCTATATAATCTATGATTCTATGATATAGTCACACTTTTGCTTAAATGAAATTGGATATAAAATAAAATTATATATGCTTCCTGTAGGGTAAGTTATTGTAATCGTCCAAAAAAATCGAACATTTTGTCATACCTCAGAAAAAATGGATGTGTGAGTATGTATGTATGGATACAATTTTTCGTCCACGTTTTTGGGCGCACGAATCAAGCGATTTTAATGATTGAAGAAACATTCGATTCCTATTGATAGGAAGATGTTCTTATTAGTTTTTGGCAAAGACAGGACCAGCCGTTTCGGAGATACGAAGCTAAACGTAAGAAAATGCAGTTTTTGAGAGAACGAAAAAAACTTTCTGCTTGTGTTGCCGAAACGATTGCTTTCGGGAAAACAATTTTTGTTTGAATATCGTAAATAATTCGAATTTAAATTTTTGCTAGCAAAAGTTTTAAAGCTCACTAATATACTTCAAATAAATAATTTTAACTTTGCAATTCAGTTTATATAGTTCTTATAAATATTATACAATATCCTTCATTTTAATCAAGCTTTGTATATATGTTACAACATTCACAATAATCTACTTGAAAACTTTTAATATCCTTCGAATATTTTGTTACGGTACGGAAGTTCCAGCAATTTGTCTTAAGGCACAATGCCATTCATCACTAGTTATATGATGTATTCTTATTGTATTATAATATATCAAATACTTTTAAATTATTGCACTGTTAATACGGTGTATATTGCAAACTACTAGCTTTTTATGACTGTTCTGTAGTACGAATAAAACTAACGTCAAATGTCAAATCCCCACGTGAAACAAAGGAATGAGTTTTGAACAGTGACTTATATTTTTTAATAGTATTTTTCGTATTTTTATAAAACGGTTTTTACTTTTTATACTATTTTTACCATCAATAAATTTAAGATTTCTACTTGACATTGAAAGTAATGGGTGAAGCTACTGGTAGCGGCAGTCGATTGGCTGCGGACGATGTTGAAGAAAGCATCTACAGGGTATGCTAAAACTTACCAATATTGGTTTTTACGTAATCTCACAGGCTTTTAAATATTCAAAAACAATTTAAAGATCTCTAGATCATATGGATTTGTTATCTAGCTTATAGATATACAATAATTTTTTTACTTTTTGAATTAAATTTAAAATTCTATCTTACATCAATTCAATTATACTAAAATTGAAAAATTGTTTACAAAATACTAGGTCAAAACTACGTTGGTTGTTGGTAAGTTAAATCTAAATATTGACAATTGACAAAATTGACCGATTCTACTAAAACAAAAAGCATGTGACAGATCGTGATTCTTTTTCATTTCTTTGCCTGATTCATGATTAAGAATCTGATATGCAAAGATATAAATGGAATATAAATGCATCAATAAAAATGTCAAAGACAATTGTTGATTGTTAGTTATGCATAAATCAATAGACTACTAAGAAATAAAGTATAATATTATCAAGAATAAATAAGATATAACAAAATTTGAGTTTTGTATTTCAACTAAAAATCGCGCAGTTCAGCAATAATTTATAGAAAACAATAGTTTTATTTTCACCAACCAATGGACTAAAAGTTTCTTATAATGTAACAAAGTCAACATGTTACTAAATTTTCTGCTATTACTAAATTTTGCCTTCAATGACATAACGCAACATACACATTCCACCTAATGTACCCAATTCTCCTGGTCATATACAACGATTATCAATCTGTTGGCTCATTAAGTATTTATTACTATATTGAATTCACAGTTATATATATATATATATATATATATATATATATATATATATATACTACATAGGCAATGCAAATAAGCGTTGTAGGTTCTATTTTCCTACGATCTCATTCGGGGTAACGTAATTAAAATCGCTCTTTCATTATATTCAAGAAAAAAAATTAATAAATGCAACGTATTTACCGTAACACAGATTTGAAACACGTATATATATATATAATATATATATATATATACAGTAGCGGCGCTAGGCGTCGGCTTCGCACTTTAAGGGGCCTCGCAAGAGGCCCTGGAAACATTTTAATTATTTAAAATTTAGTTTTTCATTTTTATTTAGTTTTTTTCATACTGATGAGCAAGTAAACAAAGTGATTAGTATTTTACTTTTATCTCTTATGATATCTAATATAGTCTCTCAACACTATAGATTAAATCTAAATCTAAAACAACTTCGCGCGAGACGTATAAATTCTCTGATTGTTTATATTTGTGTTTCTTATGCAAGCATAATGTAAATCATTATTCCTTTTGGGAATACATACAAGTAGGTATCCAAACATTAATTAAATATTCGGGGAATAAAATTAATCAATGATAAATAAAAATTGATCAATGAGAAATAACAATGTTTTAAATATTATGAAATAAATACTATAAATACTGTTAATTTGAAACAAATCATTGTTTTACACCTTCAACACAAGCAATATATTTTTCGAATCATTCTAATCGGATGACCAGTTCTTTCAAAAATTGCAACACCAAATTGATTGCAACTTTTTTTGCATCTCCAAAAGTGCTGGGCCTGCCTTTGCCAATTTACCAACACGAATCAAATGTTTCTTGAATCATTTAGATCGGTCGATCCGCTTTTATATCGTCGACAAAAAAATTAAAGGTTCTTAAAAAAATCCGACATTTCGACATTTCTGAACCAAGTTCAAAATGCAAAAACTGTTCGAAAGTAAAGATCGGCCGCGCCGTTTTCTTCGTAAAAAAAACTCTGTATGGAGATCAAAATTATAGTCCAAACTGACATAAATTTTATGGAAAAATTAATTTTAAATTCATTCAATTATGAAATAATGGGCCGAGTTTTTCGGTCATGCCATTATATGTGCGGATTTGTGTACTCAAATCATTTTGATTATAGATTTTTTAATTAAATTAATCAATTGTAGATTGCAATATTTTATTTAATTAGTTAGTAATTAAGTAAGTGGTTTCTTTCATTCAGAAAGACTTGAACGATCGAGATATTATAAAATTAACTACTCAAATGGTTTGGCAAAAAAAAATTAATTTCAGTGTTATTCTAATATCTGGAGAACAAACTGTTTTTGCCGAAGAGTTTGTTTATTTTAACTTGTGTAATTTTTATCTATTACAATATGTGTAAATATTTGATTAGAAATAAATCTTATTTACTCATACTTTCATTTGACAATAATTATTTTTTTAACTTTTTAATATGGTCATTAAGACGTGCAGATTAGTTTTTGGCAAAGGCAGAACGAGCCAACGGAGCGTCCGACCCGAATTATTCAAAAAATATTTTATTTGTATTAACCTGATGAAAAACTGATTAAATTTTTAGGAAGGCAGGTGGTCTAGCGCTTTTGGAGATCTAATAAAAAAAAAGTAAAAAAAGGCCATTTGGCGGACAAAAATGATCATGTATATCAAATTATCAGATATTTTATAAAGATTTTAACCCTTTCCACTCGCAAATTCTGAGATTTATATGAATTTTCCGGCGGCATTCGAGTGAAAAGGGTTATTAATAAGTACACATTTTGTTTGCATTTCTACGCGTTTCGTAAAATGTATAACCGTAAACGCGGCGCTTACGCGCTTCAAAAAATTTCAAAATATCAAAAAGTATTTCCAATTAAAAAAGTTAATTTCTTTCAAATTTTTCAAAAATTTTTAAAGCTTTTAAAACATTTAAATTACGTCACGGGAAGTTTCAGTAAATTGCCTTAAGGCACGATGCCGTGCACCATTAGTTAACTTTAACAGAGAAAAAAGGGGGGGCCTCGCAAACGAATTTCGCCGACGCCCCCGCATGGTCTAGCGCCGCCACTGTATATATATATATATATATATATATATATATAGGGTAGAATAGGGCACAAAAGTTCAATTTCACTTTTAGTAATTATACTGTCCAAAGCTAATAAACTGCATCACAACGCATAACAACTATGTTCAGTAAAATTACCAGTTAATTGCAAATTATAAACATATTTTTTGAGCTATTTTTCTAAAATTTGTCATGTGATTAATCGGGTAAACAAACACAATGTATAATTTTTAATTTTAAAAGAAATTTCACTAAGGTGACCAACGTCTCAGTTTGGCCGAAACAGGGAATTTCAACCTTGTGTCCCAAGCTTTTCTAAAAGCAATATTTGTTTCGGTTTGTACTGGATTTTCACAACTAATATAAAAATGTTATGAACAACTGGTATGCTGATATGAAAAAGGCGGTTAAAATAGCCTCTCACATAACTTTGTACTTTTATTTTCAATTTTACGAAAATTAACAAAAATTATGAAAATAAACTTCTTAACCAAGGAATAAGTGCTAAATATTTTAACATCTTTATGATAAAAATTAAAACTTCATATCAAGTTTGAAAGCTAAAAATAAATATATCCAAAAATATAAAATAAAATATACCATATAATCAAATAATGAAATTCTGAGTCACTAATTCTAATCATTTAAAAAAGTCGTATTTTGATTGTTTTTTCAAATAGTATTTGTTATTTTAAAATCATATCCACACTTTTGTTGTGGATTTTCTAACATTGCCGTTTATCTCCCGATAGCAACGTCGTAAAAATCAAGATGACGGCTGGTTATACATGCTTTTCCCTATACTTTCAAATATAGTTGTTAAAAATTATTAACTTTACTTGTTTTTGAGATATTAGTAGTGACCCTTTTTACCCGCGCACCTTTAAGCCTCGCTCAAAGTCTATTACTAAACAAATAACCACGTAAACCACATCACTTCCTTCCCCGATAAAAATGACTTTTATCTCTATATTTATAAATCATCTTAAATGTTCTATTAAAAAACCTATTTTCATTAACAAATTTTGTAGGTATTTGAACCAAAATCTGAACGAATACCACCTCAACCACGTCAGTTTCTGTCGACCTTTTCAAAAAAAGTCCGTGAAGATATGGAAGCAAAAAGAGTGCGCTATAAACATCGTACTATGGGAGTTGCTGAGGTTTGTACTGACAATTCCACATTTTTTCTACTGAACAAAGATATTCTAAACTTCCAAAAATACTAAGTATAATCATTTTCTCATCTACCACTTTATACCAAATGAATGTGTAATGGAAAATGTTCATTAATATAATAATCATATCAATCTAATGTATTCAACTAATTTAATTTTTTTTTAGGTGGAATTGAAAGATCCAAAACATTACTTAAAGCGAGGCGAGGGTGGTATATCTTCACAAGCGCCAAGGCGCCCTCACCAGCATAGTTGTGTGAAGACTGGTATGCCGCAATTACCAAAACAAGCGCGTGGAAAACCAAAGAAAAAAGACAGTAAGACAAAAAATTAAAATTTGTCGATTTTATTAATTGCATTTCATGAATTACATATATTTCCAAGAAGCGTGAGTGCATAAGGTCTTGTACCTTATGTTATGTTTGTGATATCCATTGGAATCGCTCGCGTTTTTGTTAATTTTGTTTGATTTCTAACTTTGTTATCTAACATAAGTCATAACTTAATAAACTAATCGTAAAATATTTTTTGCTTTATTCATTAATAACCTTAGGTGTCCGCCACTAGGGGACTTCCCCCTATACTGCTAAACCAAATAAACTACATCAAAACAAGTAACACGTATCAACTATCGTTCTATGTTCGGTAAAATTCCGAATCAATTCTTAATTGTACATATGTTTTTCACCTATTTTCCTGAAATTTGTCACTTGTCCCTTTTTATCCCATAGCTGGGTAGAAGAGGGCAGCCAACGAGCAAAAAGCTACAGTGTTTTGTTTTCAATTTTAAAGCGATTTTACGAAATATATGCTAAGTTGTTTAACCAATTCGAAATAAGTTTTTCATGAGCACATTTTTACAAGGATCACATAGTATATAAGCTTAATCTTGCATTTTGTCAGAAATATTTATTAGCAGAGCTGGACTAATTATTCAATTAGTTTATTTTTTATACAATTGCTTTGTTCAACTTACTATACTTTTCTATTTACTTCCAGTGTAAAGGTTTAGTTAGTACTTTTCACCCCACCCACATGTTACTTTGTATAAAGGTTGTATAAAAAAACTGTTGAATGTAACTTTGAAATAGCAATATATTTCATGAAATAATTAAATTACGTATACTTAAAAGCTATATTCTGATATGAACTAATTAAGAGAGCCCAAAACAAAAAAAAAACACTTTTGTTATGGATATTAATACATGGCCGTTTATCGCCTAATAGCAATATCATAAGAATTAAGATCATGGCTCATAATACATCTTTCATGTTCTAATTAATTCTATTTTAATTGTTTTCGAGATAATGGTAGTAGACCTTTCAACCCGCGGACCTTTAAACCCCGCTCTACCCTACAACAAAACTGAATGAAAATATTTTTGGTCCATATGCCCACGCACATTTATTTTTAATAGCACTAATTTATTTTTCTATTTTAGTTTAAAGTTAATAATAGAATTCATTATAATTTATAAGAAAACAAACTATCAATTACTCATGTATGATTAAAAAAATCTTAATGGGGTGTAAAAAAAAACTGTCAAAAGAATGTCTTGTAATCGAGAATGTTCTAACATGATTATAAAATTAATTTAAAGTTTTGCATATTATGCGGTATTTAACTTTTATATTTTAGTGTTATAGTGCAAAATTGTACCTAGCATGTTTATAAAAATGCAAAATATTACCTGCATGCTTAAAGAGGCCAGCAAAGTTATCTATTACAAATATCTAGATAGACATTACTATTTAACGACTTGCAAGTAATTTTATATTATAAAGAAATGAGTTTCATTTTCATTGAAACTTCCAATTGGTTTTTATAATTCTGTTTCTTTTAAACAAATTGTATAGTTAATTTAGAAGAAAATCTCTTAATTTAGACCTTACTAGAATAGGAGAAAATCATATCTTTCATATAAAAATAATGAATAAATAATTTTGACTATCAGACTTTTGATTCTTCTTTTGCGAGTGTAATGAAAAATACGGAGTATTACCTGAGAAAAATCGTAATTGAAGATTTTTCAAAATTTAATAATATTTAAAAAAATTATCAGTCAAATATGTTTTACTTATATATCAAAATTATAATTTATTAAAAAACGCAAATTATAGGAGACAAAAGTTAAAAAAATAACGCGAATTAAAGAAAACTGAATATTCGAAGATTTAGATAAACTTTAAAAGTGTAATTTGATTCATAAACACAACTGGCTGCAATCGAGCAAGAATGTTATTTAATGGATTATTTATTTATAAAACTTTATATTAATTTCTTTTGTAATTGCAAAGTTCTGACCCAAAAATATAAATTCTACTTTAACATAATAAAAAGTAAATTTCCATGTACTTCATTTTTCAAAGGCGATGCCGCCGCCAAGAAGCGCCTCGTAGATGACATCGACTTCTATAAGGCAAAACCGTACGATTTCAATTTTCGTGTGCACAATATTAAAATGGTTAGCAAGCAAATGACTAGATATCCTCCTATGCGAGTTGCTCACACTAGGTATTATATTGAAATGAAAATACTATGATTACATATTTTACTGTTGACATAATTCCTTTGGCTTGTTATAGAAAAGGAGACACATTTTCTCTTATGGGCTCTGGGCTATTCCCAACGTATGTGTACAGTGAGAAATACGGTAAAGTACCTACATACATAGTGAAAAGGGCTGAGGAAATGGCATTGGCGAAACAGGTTGGTGTTTAACAAATAATAAATTCAACTAATTTTAAGAATATTTTGGCTTAACAATTTTTAGGCCCAGTCGTTCCCGAGAGCAGCCTATTGTCAACAGTAGTGATAACAGTTTTCAGTTGGAAATATAGATAGCAATATGTTTCCGAGTATATATAGCCCTCAGCCGGCTTTGCTGCATTAATGAAAAATTCGCCCCATGACAAAAATTGTCATAATAAAAATCATTACATAGAGATAACTATTTTGGTTGCCATTATAGTAATGGAGAACTATAATGAATATCAATAGTATTTTTTTAGCCTTCAATTAAAACTATAAATATAAATATAATAAGGTTTGGTGATATTTGCCAATATATCAGTTAATTAAGATCGGGTATGACTACATAAAACATATATAATTTCTTTCGAGATTTATTTAAAAACCACACGTTTCGGATAACATTTTACCCTTTATTCAGTGTAATAATAAATTTGGTACCCTTCTCTTCAAAATAATAAAGGCCCTATTACTCCATGGCATAAGAATGTGCTCAGAGGTAAAATATGTATTTTTTGAAATCATAAAGAACAAACCACACAAATAAACACAAGAATAAGAAGTTGAATCTACGTACCAACACCAACAGTTCTGGGTATGAAATAGTAATGTATTTAATCTAAATATAGGAAAACAACATTTTATTTTACCTATGAGGAAGAGTAGAACGTTAGCCAAAAGGTATAGATATCAAGTTTTTAATCAATTCATATTTTGTTATAGATCTTTAATCTTAACAAATATACATTATATCATATATCATATATAATATATCACTATATGATATAGTATTGTAATACTAAAAAATGTTAAATATCAAGAATAGAAATTTTTCTACTAAATTTCTGGTCTCATAAAAATAATAAAAATCGTATTAGATAATTATAACTTCTAAAAAGCGGCCACTTAGCCGAGGTTCGTTTCACTTATAAAATGTGCATAGCTTCATTAAAACAGACTTTGCGCTCATTAAAGTATGAGACAAGCAATTATGGTCTATTTTATATTACGGAATAGAGGTTTCATTTTTATTATATACTAAAAGTTTTAACGATGCAGACTTTACAGAAATCTGTTAAGTATTTTATTGATATATTCATTAGCATTGAGCAAAATTAACATTAATGACAAGTTTGGTTAATAAACGTTTTCCGCCTAATTCAGGTAAATACAAAATTTTAAAGGCAAGTTGAATTTAATTGAAGTTTTATAAAAGGTTTATAAACTTTCTAAAATAATCAAGCTCTTCAAAAAAAAAAACATTTATTTTTATTTTTGTAAATAGGGCGATGTTTTGGTTTCAACCACAATTCAATCAACACAATTGAGATATTAGTCGAGATATCTTTTGAATTAGTTTCGAATTTTTTTAAATCAAATTAGAATTTGTTGAAATAAAAACGTAGTCGGTGTATAAGATAGTATCTATGTTTTAAACCGCTATAATTGCGACGATTTCATAGAATATTTTATAAAGCACTTAAATATTTTGAATATTAAAAAGCGTTCTTCATATTGAAATTATTACCATAATACTCAACAGTTTTATAACATCTATTGCATTATTAGAATAAGTTCAATTTCTACGAAAATATTGGTAAAATATTTTTTATTTAATTGTTAATTATAAAAAAAACGCTTTAACGAATCCATACGCAAATTTAATCAACGCGAGCCATTATTTAGTCTTATAAATTGAGTTTTAATTTCAGTATAGTATTTTTTCCCAAAATCAATCAATAACAATAATAATGTTCTTATGTACTCACCCATGCATATGCCCATTTTTGTTGGTGGTGTGCACTTCACTATTTCCTGCAATAAATAACACACCCTATTAATACATTTTTTTTCCTTTTCCTTAGATTAACATACAAACGCCTTGTACAAATATTCAATATTATATTGTAAAATTTAAAATTACACATCTACCATTTTTCTTTTAAATAAATGTTTGTACCCCACAGGCATCATTGGACGCAGAGGCAAATAAGCAACCCAAGTGCAGATATATCACTCAACACGAAAGATTAGAACTTTTAGAAGGATTGAAGGTAATACTTTTTCATTTTGTGAGTTAAAAGTAAAAAAGTAGTTTTAAATATCACCACGTATCACCAAGGGAGAGAAGGGGTTCCAAAAATCCTTAAAAATTGATCACGTGATTAATGAACGCCCAAAAAAGTTATATTTATACAAATATTTGCTTTCAAAACTTTGCTAATAGAACAACTTTTTGCATACACTTTTTACTATAAATAATTTTAATATCTGCAAAATTAAATTAATGAAAATCAAATTATATTCAAAAGCAATGTTTAACAAGATTATAACAATATGTGAAACCTATAAAATAGATATATTTAATATAAATTTAATATTTTCAATATTGAAAAACACAATCCAAAAAACATCACACAGAGCAAAACTGTTGTTGCGTTTGTTTATTTATTACTTTTTATTAGTTATATATCTGAACCAAACTGGCTTCCGAAAACCGCCTTAAAACAAATTGTCTTAAAAATGTAGAATAGTTGAGATAAAAAAAATAGTCAGGATATACTGTGTTTTAAACTGGTAACGTTTTCAGTAAGCATAGATTCGGTAAGTCATAGTAATCGTAAAAAAATCAAAAGTTTCAAACCTTCTGAATATTTTGGAAAAATATTAGAAAAAATTGTGCGTATGTGTGTAATGCGGATGCAAATTTCCGTCGACGATTTAGTCTAATTAAACTAATTAACTGAATTTAATAAATCAAAAAACATTTATTTTCTATTGATGGGAAGATGTACTGATTAGTTTCTGGCAGAGACAGGTCCAGACGTCTCGAAGATACGGGCAAAAAGCGGTAATTCTGTTTTTGAGAGAATAGATCGTCGAATTGGGATGATTTAAAGAACATTTTAATTGTACTTACGGAATGATTTGTTGGTAATTTTTTTTGAAAGCATTATGCCATGCACCCGTAGAGTTTTTAATTTTCTCGCTCCTGAAGACGATTCATTAAGTTTCGGCTACTTTCACATATTGTTGATAATAATTTAGATATTGATATAATTTTTTTTCTCAGGCCAATTGGGAACAAGTGACAAGTGTGTACAACAAGCAGAGTGTACTGATCGACAACGCGTCTAAGGTCGCTAGAAAGGCTCGCCTTGAGAGCGAATTGGTTCGTCTGGAGAAGGACATTCTGTCACTCGAAGGACATCCTTATATCTATGTCCATCGCGACTAATCAACATTGATTTGAAAATTCACATGTGAGTAGTGCTATTTGTTATAAAGTGGAGAAATATTCTATTTGCCTTAACCTTCTTCCTTAACTTAGCAAAGTATTAGATTAATAAGTAAAAATACTAGATATAGATATTATTGAAACATATCTATTTCATAATATAATTATAGAAATTACATTTTTTTTAAATAAAAATATTATACAAATATTTTTAAAGAAATATTTAAAAATGTATTTTAACTTTTGTTAAACGTTAGTTATTTTTCTATGCTATGTTATTTATTAATTTATTTTTCAAATTATAAATATTTGTGTTATAAAATCATTTCATGCAACTAATATCTAAGAATAAATTAGCTTGTTACGAATTAAAGCCTATTTCATATTAAAATAATGCTAATTAATACTATATAATTTTCAGTGGTAGTTTGCAAAGGATAAATCGATTATTATATTTCAAGATTTGCAGCCGTACTAGTCAAAATCGTGAAATTTTAATTTTAAATTAGTCATTTAAAAGACTTTTTAAAAAAGATTTTACTTCAAGATTTAAATATAATATTAGTTGTGCAAATTATGTAAATTTTAATTCACAAATAAAACAATTTGATATAAATTAACTATTTTCAATAATCTTTATAATTTTATATTCATAAGTAAAATATTAATATGCAGGGGAAATTGGGGGTACGGTTTTGCACCCTTTTTTGATCAGCAATAATTTTGTTAATTTACCAATTACATTGAAAAAAAGTAAATTAAATAGTAATTTGAAGATTTGTTTACGTGAGAAACTAAAGTTCTGTTCATAAATATGATGAACTACGATAAATGGTCACAAAAACAAATTACGCTAAAAAAGGCAAATCACAACTGTCCCTGATGCATATACACAGGCTCACACACATGTTAAAAAACAATAGCTATGAACACCAAAATGATTTATAACAACTTTTATTGACAAAAATATGTAACACAACACAACATAGTATCAATTAAATAAAGCCTATAAATTTAATATAACAATATTGTAATTAAATATTGCAATTTAATATTCAAACAATATTTAATTAAAGTTAACAAGAAATCTTGTTTTTTTGTATTGAATCTTCCTTTCTCTTTCCCTTTCCCTTTCGTATTTTGTTTTAAGATAAGTTAGATTTTTCTTTATCCGTTTAATCTTCACCCGAAAATGGTAAGGTATACATGTCAGAACTGTACTCACAAAATTTGTCACAATCGTACCCAAAACAAATCATCGTTATGACTAGACTAACTTAAAGAAATCGAATAAAAAAAACTTTTGCCTCTTTAAAATGATCCTCTATATCTCTCTATCCTCTATATATATATATATATATATATATATATATATATATATATATATATATATATATATATCCTCTATACTCTATATAATTTCCTAAAAAAACTTTTAACCCATAATAATACATAAAACTAAATTATGTATGAATTATTAACTTCCCGAAGGAGAAGTTTATGTTTTCATCAAAAAATCCGAATCGCTAATTTTATGTTTTCTCGACGTTTCGAGCCATTCTGAATCGAATGAGACCAAATTTGGAAAAAGTATGTGTGTGTGTGTGTGTGTGTGTGTGTGTGTGTGTGTGTGTATGTGTGTGTGTGTGTGTGTGTGAACAGATTTTTTGCCGTAAATCGACGTTTTCTCCAAAACGGTTGGACCGATTTCAAAAATTTAAAAGCCATTTGATGTATCTCGATGAGGACTATCGTCTCTGAGTTTTGTGCGGCGATCGGCCGGGCCGTTTCTTTGTAAATTGCAGAAAAGTGAAAAATTTTTCGTCCACGTTTTAGCCCGCAATTCTGAATCGATTCTGAAAATTCAAAAACCGTTCGATAGATATTGGTTGGGAATCGTGCTGATTAGTTTTTGGTAAAGATCGGCCGGGCCGTTTTCTTGTAATAAAGTTTTTAAAAAAAAAATTTTGACGATTTTTATGATTATTTTTTTGACGAAAGATACCATAGTTTTCTAGGTCATACTAAAATATTACGGCCCTACGACAACTGGTTCAGCTTTAAAAATTCGTCAAAGTTTGCAAAAATCAGTATGGTCTTTGTGGCATTTGTCAAAATTAGACTTTTGATCGACGATTTCTCAAAAACGCCTGAACCGATTTTAGAAATTTAAAAGCCATTTGATGTATTTCGGTGAGGACTATCGTTTGTCAGTTTTGTGCAACGATCTGCCAAGCCGTTTCTTCGTAATTTGAAAAAAAGTGTTGAACTTTTCGTCCACATTTACGCTCATCCTACCGAACCGATTTTGAAAAATCAAAAACTGTTCGAAAGATATCATTTGGGAATGATGCTGATTAATTTTAGGTGAAAATCTACCGAGCCGTTTTCTTGTAATTAAATGTTAAAAAAAATTTAAGCCGTTTTTCATGGAACTTTTTTTGGCGATATACATCATGGTCTTATAGAACTTACTGTAATATTACGGCCTTACAACAAGTAGTTTAATTTTAAAAATTCGTCAAACTTTGCTAAAATTATTATCGTTTTTTTTTAAAGTAGGATTGATGAAGTATATTATTTACACATTTTTTTGATCAAGTCGATTATTTACACATATCGGGAAGTTCATGTAATTTGCCTCAAGGCTAAATACCAAACCAACTAGTTTATTATAAGCTTACATTAAAAAACATCCTACTGAGTATTTTTTTAAATGATTTGAAAACAAAACCTATAATTTACAGTAATAGTTAAAAAAACGACAAATGTTTAAAACTTTTGGTATAAATGCTAGTTACAAAATTAATCGAATTACAAAACAACCATTCCATTTACTTACGCATAAAGTGAACTGAGTTTCTTGTATCGTTCAACACGAATACTAATTTTACTATATTTATAGTAATAAATAGAATAAAATAAAATATTACAGTTACATTTTTTTATTACCTTCCCGTAGGGTTAGTTATTGTAATCGTCCAAAAATCAATATTGAAAATTTTTACATTTCTTCACGTTTTGAAGGTTTCTGAACATTTTGGCATACCTCAGAAAAAATGAATGTGTGTGTATGCGTTTGTGTGTATGTATGTATGTGGACAGTTTTTTGTCCACGTATTCAGGTGCACGGATCAACCGATTTGAGTGGTTCGAAAAGCATTCGATTTCTATTGATAGCAAGATGTGCTGATTAGTTTTTAACAAAGGCACGTCCAGCCGTTTCGGACATACGAAACAAAGAGTGCAGAAAATAGAAATCGAATTTTTAAGAGAACGAAGCATCCAATTTAAATGATCTAAAAAACATTCAATTCGTAATGACGGAGAGAAGTGGTGATCAGATTTTGGCAAAGGCAGGTCCAGCCTTTGCTGAGATACCAAGCTAAATGCGTAAAAAACAGCAGTTTTTGAGAGAACTAAGCATCTGATTTGAATGATTCAAAATACTATCTGCTTCTTTTGACAAAATACCTTTTTTTTCTGTATATCGCAAATAATTCAGATTTAACTTTGCAATTCGGTTTAAATAATTCTTTTAAATATTAGGCATTGTTACAGTATTTATAATAATCTATTTGAAAACATCAATATTCCTCGAACATTTCGTTACGGTACGGGAAATTCCAGCAATTTGCTTTAAGGCACGATGCCATATACAGCTAGTTATGCATATAATTAGCAAAAACAATTTTTACAGTTTTAGCCACATTACGAAATTTTTGTAAGAACTTTGTACGAAATTTCTCATCGAACTTTTATTTTTTTTGAAAAATTATATGCAAATTCGACCCCATTCATACATAATTAAGTTATCTAAAATTGTAATGCTGAAACTCAAGTAATATACCTTATAAAAACTTAATATTTATTTTTACACAAAATTATTATAAGACAAGTATCTTAGATAAATGAGTATCACTCTGCGGCAATATAGCTCAGAGGAGAATTAATACATAGTAAAAGCAATGTTGTTCGTGTGTTCCAGGACACCTTCTTAGCTCTCTTAGCATGGTCAGCTGCCATCAGTCTACCGATCCATCGATCTGATATGAGTGTTTTAAGTATTATACCTTATAAAAGCTTAATAATTATCATTGCACATAATTAATATAAAGCATGCATCTTTGATAAATAAGCATCACTCTGCGGCAATATGGCTCAGAGGAGAATTAATACATAGTAAAAGCAATGTCGTTCGTGTGTCCCAGGACACCTTCTTAGCTCTCTTAGCATGGTCAGCTACCATCAGTCTACCGATCCATCGATCTGATATGAGTGTTTTTCGTTATCGCGAAAGTGGCGCTCGCTCGTACGTAGTACGTCGCGCGTCTACGGCCGCTGCAGCAACGGCAACGCCATGAAGTCCCTTGGGTCGGGTGAATTAATAATTCACTGTATGCAAATCGAGTCGCTCGCATTACTGCACGTACGAGAGCAGAGCGCCGGGGCAGCCAGTTGATAGAAGAAGGGCTACGACGGACCAGGACCATACTAGACGAATGATAACATCTTGGACCGCAGGCCATAGACAGAAATATGTACTGTGTGTATCTTATTTAGGTGATATTTTCTGTAAAGTATGGTAGGTTTTACTAGTGTGATGCTGAAGTAATTTGTACTTGTACGACACCATGATAGTGTTACGATAACGTGCCAAAAGCTTTGAAATTGCTATTTCTTAGGTCTCGAACGCAAGGTAGTTTACACAAATTGGACGTTCGCTTGTTAGTTTGTGCTTGCTATAATTCTAATCTTCATGAGCATAATGATCTATAAATTCAATATGTGACACAAATGGTTAATTACTTCTTTTGAATTTAAATCATAAATAATCTGATATAAGTACGGGTTCATATAACTATCCTATCAAGTTATTATAAAAGTAATTTCAAAAATTTTACTGTGTATTCTCAAGCATGTATAAATATACCCTCAAAATTTTAAATAGATCGATTCACTAGTTTTTTTAATTTTTAATTTCCATAAATGACCTTTTC